GAAGATATCAATCTCATAGCACGGAGTACGAGTTTTCACCGAAACACAGCACAATTGAGAGAATAAAAGGATTATTAAAGTGGAGAATTGTTGGGTTGAAAACTAAAAAAGATTACACCATTTCGCTGATGAACAAAACTGGTTAGTCCTTATTCTCCCATGTTGTTACGGATTTTAGTTTAAGAGTGGGCTAATGTGTATTATTGATTATTTGGAGAATGGGAAGAAAATCAGAGAAGGTGGTGCAGGTGTTTCATTTAGAGTGAGAAATTGATTAGGGAAAAATTTATAGTTTGTTAATGAGGTAATGTAGTCGGCTGAACGAAGTATTGCCAACTTATGCACATTGATTGTGACCTATTTGAAAGTTCTTATTCAGCCGATTTAGTTTGATCTTACGTGCGAAATTAATACAATTAAAAACAACAAGTCACTTTTTAATTGTTTCTAGATAATTAATCACACAAGTTCGATTTGTCCTATGTTTGAATGCCAAGGTCACTAATCAAAGTAATAAATAACATCAGATATGTTGATGGAGAAACCTAACATGGAAAAAAACTCATGGACTAAGTCGACTACTTCCACTATAGACAATATGAATTTACAATCAGATGTTGCCTAACCAACTTCACTAGACTTCCCGATCTACTTCCTGTACTTTCCAAGATTTGCTGACTCCACCAACTTCCCGATCTTCTATAATTGTCTCTTCCAAGTGGAATTTCAAGAATCTCCAAATTTTGTAATCTTCCCACTCTTGTAGTCCAACCTCTCTCAACCTTCGACAGCCTCTGAAGTTCAATTAAGAAAATACCTTTCTAAGGGTGTTTAGAAAGTAGATGTTTTGGATTCAATGGATTTGATATTGTTTCATAATGTGGTTGTGTGAATTCAAGAATGAATTGAATGATCTTACCAATGGATTGTATTCTTGAATCTTCAAGGAATAATATGGAGAGACAACACAATGAACCACCACACCAATTTTCGCGTTGGGCTTGGGTATTTATAGTTAAGGTGTTTAGGTAGTTTGGATCGGATAAAACATTTCAAAAACTCAAACTGAGAATTTTCGTGTAGCACTATTTCTAGAGCGAGAAGCTAGTGACAAAGGAGTGAGGGGTCTGTTCGCACGAGCAAGAGACGTGCAACAGGCGAGTGACGATGTTTCTGTTTTTATTCTTGAGCAATGTTCAGGCGATAGGCTAGCAAAATAACGACATCTTTTCTTTCCTTTATTCTGAACTCAAATCCTGATTTACCTAACTCAATTATATAATATTGCAACTAACTCCTTGACTTTTTACAATATTTATTTAGGTCCTTTTGTTCATAGAATTGCCAATTATATAAAATCTAACAAACTCCCATTTAACATTCTGTGACAAAATTATACAATAAAAGTTAAGGTAGTAAAAAAAAAAAAATTACCCATTTTCAGTTTCTTGCATTCCTTGTTAAACATGTTTCTTGAAATCAACAACTCAAATATCGAGTGTAAAAATACGTTGTTCATAGAATTGTCAATTACATAAAATCTAACACTATTTACCATGTGTTATGTCTTATACGTGATCAGATTGTGTTTAATAGTGACTATTTGTGATCATATTTATGTAAGTTGTTATTAATTTTTACCGGGCATGTGTTATTTGTGATCAACTATGACCAAGTATGTCTTTATCATAATTGTCTATGACCATGTCAATTTTAAATTGTATGTGACCAAGTTATTGTTAATTTGGTAACCAATTACAGTGACAATTGGTCAAATTTAACACAAACTTTGTCACAACCTATCACAATTAATAGAAAATTTGTCATAGAGAATCACCAAAAATAAATCTACACATACATCATACCAACACCACATTCTACCACCAATCATCACCTTCAATGCACTACCCCTACCACTACCACTACCACATTCAACTCAAATTCATGACTATAAATACTACATTTACCTCAAATTCACAGCAATAATCACCACCACCACCACTTCCACCTCGACCTCGACCTCTACGTTAAATCCAGCATACCCTCCACCTTCAATTCAAATCTAAGTGAAATAGTCGATAACTGTAGGCCCGACCAACTCCATCGATTTAGATCTATACAAATGAAGAGGTCAAATCACAACTCAACAGCCCAAAAATGCATTCTGTTTGGGCTAAGAATTGGAAACAAATAGACCCTAAACCTCGTTATTGTTGATTAGTATATTTTATAGGGAAAAATTCACATTTCAGTCATCTTTATCCCAATTCAAAAATCAGGTAAATAGTTTGAAATTTCAAAAATCAGATATATATATTAAATAAAGATAATGAAGTCACAGTTACACGATTAATTGTTACATATTAATAATTATAAATCATAGATTTATTTATTGGTCACGTATCGTCAAATTAATTGGTCAGAGATTATTTCGTGTGGTCACAAATCAAACATTTTGTTCGAGGTTACGGATCATTCAAATTACAAGTCACATATGTTACATTTTATCTGTGAGTCATATAAGTCCATGACTACAAATTATTTTTTAGTTACAGACACTTAATTTTTGTCACAAATCAGCCAAATAGTTGGTCACAGACACCCCCACCCGTCACCGCCACCATAACAACCACCACCAACATCATCAACAACAACACAACAATAGTTGGGCACCACTGTTTCCTGCTACCACCATCATGAGTACCACCGTACCTATAACACCACCACGCCCACAATACACTACCACCACACCACACCACACCACATCTCCTCTATCTCCATTTACACCACACCCGACCACCACTCCCACTAAAGAATCACAAACCCGCCACCACCACTACATCACACTATCACAGCCTCAAAATTGCAACAAAACATGCCGCAAAAATCACAAGAAAACCACTGCACAACGCTTAGAAAACCTCCAAAAGAAGCACTGTAATTCAACTGTGAGCTCAGCCACGACGACACCGGGTGATGCTGGCGCTCAGATCAACAACTTCGAATTCACGACACTGTAGGAGAAGGTGCGGTTGCCGTTGGATACGGCGGTGATTCGTGAAAAAGAGGAGAGAAAACTCACAACTTCGTGCCGGTTGCAGTGAGACTCCGATCGCGACTTCTCTTCTTTCGGCGTATCTCCGCACAGTAGCAGTAGAGGTCGTTGTCACGCCTCTTGCAGCGGTGTCGGTCTCACATTGGAACCGGCACCAGTCTTCAAACGTAGAGGCGACGTCTCTATCGACGTGAGAAGAGAGAGAGAGACAGGATTGAAAATTGAAAATGGGGGAAATAATTTAGGGTTTTAAATTGAATTGGGTTAATTATATATAATACTTGACTTTTGCACAAGTAAATTTTATCCCTGAAGTTTGAATTCAAAAGTCTAAATACCTAGATTTGTGTAATTTCCTCTATTTTATATGTTGGGTCATTTTCCCCATTAACTATTTTTAATGGGAAAATTTCATTAGTAAGAGATTAATTATGGCACATTTCAAAAACAAGAAAACAAGTTTCAAATTTCAAAAATCAAATTTTTATTGAAATTTTTTATTAATTAATTAATTAATTAATTTTAGTAATTAAATAAATTTAAATCACAGATTTATATAGTTTGGTCACAAATTAACGATTTAATTCGTCACTTATTATTTTTTGTCACAAATCAGAAATTTTATGTCACAAATTATTTTACGATCACAATTCAAAAATTTTATAGATCACAATTTGTTCATCGGTCACAAATCAAAAAGTTTATAAGTCACGATTTATTTATTAGTTACAAATTACATATATTACAAGTCACAACTTATTAAACAATCACAAATAATTAAATTATTGGTCACAAATTAACAATTTTTTAGGTCATACATTATTTTTCAATCACAATTTATTTTTTCATTAGTCACAGATTAACCAATTTAATGGTCACAGTCAACCAAATAATTTGTGACCACCACCAATACTTACTATTTACAGTCACAATTTTTAGGTCACGTATCTAATTGTGAGTCACGGTCACAGTAACAATTTTCATCACCTCCACATACCAACAGCACAATTGGGAGTTAGGGTCACGGTTCACAACGACCCCAAATCATCGCCACCACCGTTGCCGCCAGACACCAACACCACACTCTTCCATTTCCATCACTCTTCAGCATATGGCAAACGGATCCACAACACCACACACCTCCACAGATCGCCACCGTCGCAGCCACACAAACACCTCCACCAGATCGTCGCCACACAAGCACCAAATCGCCACCACACACCGTCACTATCACCATTACCGCTACCACCACTACCATTTGCACCACCATGAGCATCACCACCACCACCACCACCATCACACTACCATTTGTAAAACCATATCCACACCCAACCAATCAGGAACTCGCCATTGGTAACCCCATTCCACCGCCAATCTTCTTCACCCCGCCGACAGCCGCTTCTACACAAATATGTCATCCTCAATAACAATCCAATAGCCCCAACCAGACCAACTCACAGATCTGTGATCTGTCCACCTTCATTTAGGACCACGACAGTTGTGCGCCGCATCTATTTCACCTGGCAACATTCATCGCAGCTCTTCACGCTATCTGCAACGGTGCTACTCGCCCAACCAACCACCACACAACGTTGCCACTAGATCCACCACAGCCTGCACTGACCAACTGTAGAGCAATCATCATCACAGAATTATCGAAGTCTCTCTCGACGTTCCCATCTCCGAGCTACGACGGCACGACACAGCATTGACAATCTGAGAGTAGAATGGGTGGTGGAGAGAATGATGGGAGGTTGGATAATTTTGTATTATAATATTTAATTTAATATTAATTTTTAAATATATTAATTAATTAAAAATCTAATTTATAAAATACTAAACATGACATCTTAATTATGAAATGGAAATTTTTAATTTATTAGAATATTTAATTTCCACTATGTAAATCTCCCGTAACAAGAAGGTCAGCAACAAGTGGAGTAGAAAGAAACAGCCCAACATAAAGCCCAAAGGGTGATCCGTTTCCTAAACTACGACGGCAGGCGGCTGGGTTTTTGCACCCAGTATATTATGCGGGCAGTTCAAGATTCATTTTCCCGGCAGATTTTAGGGTTTAAGCAGGCTTTTGCAAAATGCCTTCAAAGAGCAAGAAGAGTTCTCAAAAATCCTTAAAACCCTCTAAATTTGACCATGGCGGCAACACCCCTTCATCGCCATCATCAGTATCATCACCGTTCAATCCTAACCAGTATTCATCAGAACCAAGTGAAGAAGAGCTGCTATTGTTGCTGGACGAAGCTTCCAAGAAGTTTCCATCTCTTATTTCTCAAAACGCTTTTATTGGCAGATTGTTGGAAAATCCCGACGCTGCCGCAACTGATAGGAGAGGCTGCAAAATTTGGCTTTCGGAATCTGCCATGATCTCTTCGTCCATTTCTCCAGGCTCCCTCGTCTCGGTAGAATTTCATACCGTGTTCTTTCCTTCTCTTCCATTTATTTAGATTTTTTATTATCGGGTCATAATTGTCAAAATCTGTTTTATGAATCATTATTTATCTATTTTGAACGTTTTTGGAAGTTGTAAAAACAGCCACTATTTAGTTATCATTTCTTCATCTATTTTGGTGAAGAAGTTCTGTAAGTGATCATTATGTATTTATACGATAGGTGTAAAGGAGGGGGATGAACACCGAGATGTTGGAGATTGGAGGTGATGAAGTACGTGAACTGAGCAATTCCGATACTCAGGCTAGATTATTCACAGGGGGATGAATGATAAATGATATTACTCAAATCTGAAGGTTGATCAACTTGAGGAGTAATCTCAATTGTTTAGTACCCTGCAATCTTTTAAAAGCAAAACAGGAAAACAAGACTCTTATATATTTATACGGTCATTTGAGGCTCAGTGATGGGATTTTAAGAAACGTGTACATGATTTGAGCATGACATTCAAAATTGTTGATATGGATATGCGGTAACCTTCGTGAGATAAAGTGACAAATGTGCATGCTTGTTGGATAAAGTGACCTCTGTTGAAGATAAATTTACTGATTGGGCTTGACTCGAGCATTCATTTGATGTAGCTGAATGCCCCAGTTAGGAAATGTCATGGGACTATTAGTAATAAAATAAAAAATAAAAAATAAAAAAAATCAGAGGAAGGCATTGACCAAATATCTCTTGGAATTATATTAGTAGAAATGATGGACGCCTTTATACATTAACTTTGGACTTGGCCTCTGGTAGATCAAAGTTGATTATATGGCTTGCTGCAAAATTAGTTAAGTTTTTTGTGTTGAATATTTGTATTATGAAATGTGAATGCATGTATAAAACTCCGTATCTTGTCCATCTCCATCTTTTTACGCTAAACGTCTCTACGGAATTCTGAATAAAAATTGGCGTATGCTTGTGGTTACAAGTACTTTATTCCTTTTGCTCACTGAGATATGAGTCTCGTAATCATATCTTTAAGCCATGTCAGTTTTGTCCTAATATTTCATTAATGTGTTTTTCTTTTTGTCTCAAGTACTGTTAAATTTTGAACTTATTCAATGTTGTGAAATTTTTGTGCATTTAACAAATTTTGTTCTATCAAAACAGAGATTGATATTGTACTTCATATCGCAGGTCTCCCTTGCTCCTTTGGAGAAAGATCTAAGTGGCTTTTCTCTTAGCTCATTATCAGATGAATGTGCTAGGCACTTCAGGTTTTATTTTGCTGAAAATTTGGCTGATGAAGCCGGAAATTACTTTGCCATTGCTACTGTATTTGCTTCTTGTAAGGTATGGTGATGACATAATCTAACCCCCCCCCCCCCCCCCCCCCCCCCCCCCCCCCCCCCCCCCACTACGTCCGCCCATGAGTACATTGTTCTTTTGAATACGTTATAAAATTGCTTCATTAAAAACCTTGTCAGGAAAATTCAATAAGACGTTGCCATAAATTTCCTGTAATTCAGTATCGAAGAAGCAAAGAAGGATTGCTAGATGATGCACTGAGTATGGGGTATAGACAATTTCACTAGTTTGTCTGTCTAGTTTATGAATTATGCATTTATGGCCACTGCATTATAAATATCCCTCATTCAAAAGCTTGAACTGGGGAGCATTGCTTAAGATCTTTGAAACAAAATAATGTTTGTTCTTGGATTGATTTAATAGCAAACAGTACTATCTCTAGAATATTACCATAGGCTCTTACATTTACCCACCCTTCTAGTACCTCATGACCAAAACCCCTTAAGTTGGACAACCTGGTATGGGAAAACTTAAGCAAACATGTTAGTGAATTGGAGTGAGTATTTGTGTTCCTTCTCTGATTTGTGCAGTGCAATTTGTCTTGTTGTTCCTTTACATTTGATCTGTGATATGAAAAACTCTGAGTGAATGGCATAATGGGCATCAAGCAGCAATTAATCGGCTTCACAACGAACCCAGGGCATGACCAATGTACAATGACTTTTTTAGTTCCTATGAATAAAATCAATATTGGTGATGTAATGGTGAAAAAACCACTGTCCTCATGACAGGTAATTCAGAACCTGTTATAACTAATAATTGTTGTAAGCCACTTATTCTGTACATCTTTTGTGGAGCTATCGATAACTAGACATCTCATTTTGCCTCCATCCTTTCTGTTATTAAATTAGTTTTTGCTTAGTATTCAGGTTTTGAAGAATGGAGTTCGCTTGTCTTCAAATCTTTCATGTACGATGGGTTGTCCAGTTCCAGACAGGATTGTGTTTGTTAATCCTGTTAAGTGTCAACCCCTGACTAACAACTGGGGTAAGTCATATGGCCCTGTGGGCAGTTCTCTGTCATTAGACATCTGCAAGGAGTTACATCTGTTACTGGTATCTTCAAAGAAAAACTTTACCATGGAAAGTACTGCATCAACCGACCTTGATATGCTCAGGGGAACGCCAAAATTTCAAGTTAGAAATAGCAAGATTTCAACCCCAAAGACACCCTTGCTTTTAGAGTCTAAACTCAGGTTTCCCCCATCAAATCATGTTGAGTCAGCATCAGAGAACATACTCGTTATGGAGGAAGTTTTAGGGGATGCTGCTGCAAAGAAACTACTGCAGACCTGCATAGCTTCGTGGTTGTGTTCACGAGTTTTTCTCTATGGAAATCTTGTGATGGTTCCGGTACTTTCAGGCCTCTGTATTTTTCAGGTTATGGGTTCCGGTAGATTGTCTGCAAGTAATGAAATTCAGCATCTGACTGACAACACAAATCATATTCTTTCTCCTCGAGCTCCATGTATAGAAGATACAAATTACGCTTTTTCTGTAGATCAGGGGACTAAAATTCATTTACAACTACCAGGAAATGCGAAAGATATTATAGGAGTCAATTTCACTAAGTTGGGAGGCCTTTCCAAAGAATTTGCATCTTTAAAAGATAATATAATTCGCTCAGTAGTGAAGGCTACCGATGCCAGGTAATTTAATAATCACTTGTCATTTCTTATTAATTCTTGGACCATCTGTTTTTTCCCTGCTATTGCTTGTAATTTTCTGAACAATTCTATATCAGTGACAAAGTAATATAAAATGGCAAATTAAAGCCAATTTCTCTGCCTCTTAGTTGTCATAGTTGCACCTCATTATTACGTAGCTGAATCATTTTTCTGTTGTTGTTTCTTTTTCTCAGTTCTGAAATTCTCTTCAGCTGCACAAATATTTTTAAACATTAAGAGTGTGCAATGAAGTGTTTCTAGGTTATTTCATGTCTGGATTTGCTGAATTTTAATTTGTTGAATGGTTACGTGCTAAAGGACAAGGCTCTACTTGAACTGCATGCGATGCAGGATAGTGCTGTGTCTATCCTTCAGAAGAGAGATCTTTAGAACTAGAAGCAATATATAGTATATAATATGCAATATGCCTCTAGAAGACAAGCTCTTGACTGAACATGTTTTACTCCACAACATTAGTCCAAAAAAGGCACCATATGTCCATCTTAAATATTGACACAAGGTATAACTACAATTAATCATCTGAAATGGCCATACTTTTCCTGGATCACAAGCTTATCAATATCCTCAATGGAATAATTGTATTTTCTGAAAGAGAGAGAACTTGGATCTCTTTTCTCCACAACGTAGTGATTATTACTATTATTGTTTTAGATATGGATTCCAGCCTATGAGGGGAGTGCTTCTTCACGGTCCTCCAGGAACAGGAAAGACTTCTCTGGCTCTATCGTGTGCTCATGATGCTGGTGTTAATCTATTTTCTGTGAATGGACGTGAAATTACAGATCAGAAACGTGGAGATGGTGTAGAAGCATTACTTGATATCTTTGATATAGCTAGTCAAGCTGCACCTGCTGTGGTTAGTTTCTTGCCTCCATTTCTTATATTTATAGTTATGTTTACTTTTGAGTCAGCTTTTCTTTTCGTACGCAATCAGGGTGCACTGATTTACTAAGCTGACAATAGTTGAAATGGGGAGGTAAAGTCTCAGTGAAATGCCTGAAAATTCTAACTACATTTTTTGTTTTCTCACTGCGTGACAGTTGTTCTCAGCATGAGAAACTTCTGATTAGTTTACGTCAGATCTGGAAGTTTGACTTCAACTAGTTAATATTATCAATCTTTTAAGTTCTGCATATAAAGTTATGAGTAACTACAACTATTTGAAGTGAACTTTACCTAAGAATTAAATTGACTTTGTGGATCTTTCAATGTATAAGATTGTGTCTTCCTGAGTACAGCATAACAATCTAGAGATCGTCGACTTAGCAGAGGTTGTAACAGTAGAATATTGTTAACTTGAATTCGGATGCAAACTTGTGAAAATTTCTTGTCCAGAAGGTGAAACTTGAGCCAGTGTATTGAAGAATCATCAAGCTTGTGGTCTGTTCTAAAGTGTTATCTGCTATTTCTGTCAGTCATAGTTCCTTCATTTTGTGAATTTGGGTCGGAAGAGTTCTATTTTCTAACAAAAGAGACTGTGTCTCTATCTATCAACATGTCTTTAAACTAAAGGAAACCACAAGTAAAATATATGGGTTTTTGAAGTTATACATCTAGTTATGTAAAAAAGAGTGATGCAGAAGGGTCATTTGCATGATCTGCGGTGCTGGACTTTTATGGAACTTCAGTGATTACACATTTTTTTACGCTTTTTATTATTCTAATGTCATTATGGTAATATAAGAAAACCTGTATCCTCAATCTGTTTCTATATGTATGTGTGTGTAATATTAACTGTTTGCTTCGAAAATTAATTCTTGACGCAGAAAAAATGCATAAAGTTGGTTTGCATGCAATGTAGAAAATCTGTTCCCTCGATGTAGCAAGGCTAATATACATGCTGTAGTTTTAGTTTAATTGGGACCTTATGTTGATTAGCTATGTAATTAATAGGTACAGCTGTTGATGTTTTAATACGAAAAGTCACATTATCATGAATTGTGTCTCTTGAACAGTACATTTTATTTTCCGCACTCTATTTTTCCTGTACCGCTGCACCAGTTTCTTAGGGTGCAGCAGGAAGGGTTTCTCGAGTAATTATTCTTGAAAATGGTGTTTTATAATCAATCATTTGTTTTATGAGTGATTATTCATGATGATGATATTTTCTAAGTACCATAGTTACCTTAATATGTTACGCTACGTATTTGCGTAGGTTGTGTTATTTATAGTTTCCCGTCATAAAACTTGGTGCATCAACTGTATTGAGAATCTGTTTGTAAATATTGATGCAGGTTTTCATTGATGAGTTGCATGCCATCGCACCTGCACGAAATGATGGAGGAGATGAGCTTTCCCATAGAATGGTTGCAGCTCTGTTTGATTTGATGGATGGGATTAACAGAACTAATGGTATATTTATTATTGCTGCAACAAACAAGCCTGACAGTATTGACCCTGCACTTAGACGGCCTGGAAGGCTTGACAAAGAAATTGAAATAGGTAACTTGATATCTTCTTACCATTAGCAATTGTTTTATATGTGCATTTTCACACTTGACCCGTTTCTATGGCAATTTTCCAAATTAAAATCCCCTATCCCAACAAGAGAAGTCAAAGTTCTCTATTAAACATTTAGGTAATATATCCAATTGCATTGTTGTCAGCACTCAGCATAATCTAATTTCTCAAGTACATTCAGTATGTTGTTTAGACAAAGCAGAAAATTTAAAATATGAGATTTGCTAAGTGGTGCAGGTTCCTGGAATATCCTGATAGCTATATTTGAGCTTGTAAGCACAATATGTTGGATTAATCTGTCATCATGTACTTTGATATACCTACGATCCGTTTTATGTTGTTTTTCTTTCACTTTGCAATTATTATTCCTTAATGAAATTTCGTTACATGGTCTAACAGCGCCTAGCTTATTCTTCTCCAAGTGAGCTCCACCTTGGGGTTTGTACATGCTATTGCACAGAGGATGCCCTTCTTTTATAATTTCTGGGAAAAGAGGGGTATGCAGTGGGGGGAAATTTGTTGTAAAGCATCCTCATAGTTCTTGAGTTTTAAAATTCATCTTCTACAAACAAGAGGTTTCTAATCAATTCATAGATTATTGCATTTTTGAACTTCAAATGGATATATTTGATGACAAAGCAACCACCTCAAAATCAGTTGGCTTTCGTTGGTGGAGGTCAGCTGGCTAAATACAGTTTGCAAATTTATCACATGAGTCAGTATATATTGCAACTCAATGATAAATTGAAAGAACTGCTGCCCTGGCACATTCTTGAACGCACAAATAGGGTGCAATCAATGCAACCTGTGGCACAAACTAGCATAGAACATTTGTAATTACTATAAGTACTAAAATGAGAGTAGCTTTACCAATTGGTATTCTATTTGATAATTGCTTCTTATTAGTTCAAACAAGCATTCTGATGCGGACATCCATTTATTATTTATTTTCTATTTGGACTCTTAGTTATATTTTATTTGGATTATTGTTTATGTTTTCGTTATTGGGCTTGTTTAGTGGATTTGGCCCAAGCCCTTCTCTTTAAGGTTTATCTTCTGCTATTTATTTCTGTTTTGTTTCTCATTTTGAGACAGTTGATGATGAATTAGAATTGAAATATTTTTGGTGGCTTGCAGCCGTTTTCTCCCTCCCCTCTCTTCCCCTGGTTTCTTCTCCTCTTCTCCCTTCTCTCTGTTTCTCCTCCCCGTTCCTTCTTCTTTCTTTCTTATTCATCCTACATCAAATTTGGTATCAGAGCCGAACCATGGGTAATTTCTTTTCTTTAATCCAAAATTTATTCATATTTCCTTCCCAAAATCTGTTGGAACAGCACGAACTAAAAGAATATTTGGTACAGGCAGCAGTTTTTTTCTTCTTCTTCAATTTTCAGTCTTAGTTGAAAAAAAAAAAAAATTTACTGTTCATCGCGGTACTGTTCACACAGAATTTCAGTTTAGTATTTTGGTTAGTTTCTTTAAAAAAAAAAAAAAAAGGTTACTGTTCACGGGTACTGTTCACGCCAAAAAAAAATTTTCGTTTTTTTCTGCTGCTCATAAAAAAATTGTGGTGTTGTTCCACAAATCTCAAACCCTAGCATTCAAGCCCATTTAGCCCAACTAACCCACCTGCCTACTCTTTACGACCCAGGCCCACTCTCCAAACACCAACCCCAGCTGGCCCATCTCTATAACAGGATCCAAAGCCCTTCCCATCTGACCTAGCCCCAAATATCCAACCAAGCCCGATTATAACCAATCCATTAACATCAAATATCCCACAGTTTCACCCGATTCCTCTCTCACAACCACTCTCTTGCTGCCATCGCCTCTAATCACCATCACGCTACCACTTCATTTTCTATTGTATCCAGGCATCCACTTCAAATCAGCACAGTCAGCCATATACATAATCCAATTTGCCGCCTTCTTCAACACATTCTACAGATTTCTATCACCGACACCCACCCACTCAGACGCCTCTATCCCCGGCGTTTCTATCTTCCACCAACTTCATTGATCAAGCAGTTTACTGTCTCTACTACCAAGCAACCCATTCAGTTACACAGAGGTTTCTATTTCAGCATCTGTCCAATTTTAGTGAAGCCAACAATTTAGAATATGCAATGACCGTGAGTTCAGGAGCTGGAGACATTTGACACAGGCAAATCAGAGGCCCAATCGTTAGCAATTCAGGCAACTAGACTACAGGGAGTTGCTATCTTCTAATTCTCATTGGTTTATACTGCTGTTTTATTTTAAAAGTGCATCACTTAGATTCTTTGTGTTGCTGTTACTATCACAACTTTGGCCTCAAACTTCACTTGACTGGAATCACTCATTGAATTGACTTGCCATTGTTGCCCCATTTATCTCACTGAATTGATGTGCCATTGTTACCTCTTTTATCTACCTGATTGGAAATCTTGACAATACCATTTGATCTTAACAAGCATTGTACCCTTGCTTTATTATTTACAAGTATCGGCACTATTAACTTGCATTTTTGGAAGGGAAGAAAAGAGAGAGAGAATTTCAAATTGATGTTTTAATCGTTGGTCCTTGATGCATATTGGTCTCTCTATTGCATTTCATTTAGGTAGTATTGCTTTGCATGTAGTTACATATTGGTCATCTTGTCACTTCTAGCTCTAGTACCTTAAACATGAACCCCTCACAATTCTATGCACTCACCCAACAAATAGCGGCTATTCAAACTCAAATGACCGCTACTCTTGAAGAGAGTAAGGCCCTATCTGTTAGTTCGAAAAATTTTAAACACATCCCTCATTCGATTGATGTTAATAATTTTAAGGTGTCCCATAATAGACAATATCGTCGACAAGGTAATCAAAAATACTTTCGACCCGATCGTAAGGATAGGGATAGGAATAGGGATCGGATTCGTGAGCGAGAACGAGATAATTTTGAAGTTCTTACTCAATGGAATGCCCTTAAACAAGGAAATCAATTAGTGACTGAGTATATCGCGCGATTTGAGGAATTTCGAATCAAATGTCATTTAATTGAGGATGAGAGCACGACTTTGAGTAGGTTTAGCCTAGGTCTGAGAGATGATCTTAAGCGCGAGCTTTTCCTTCGAGGTGTCACTACTCTTGATCACGCTTACTCTTTAGCTCGAGATTATGAGTTGATTATTAGTACTCCATATGAAAAGCGTGGTCATCGTCGCTTACCCATCTCATTAGCGTCGCCTCATCATAAGTCTATCATAAAACCGTCTCCGTCTAATGTTCCTCCTATTTGGAAAAATAATTGTAAAGGTCGTGATAGTCCACATTCTTCTTTTCCATGTAGAAAGCATATTGACAATCATCCTTCGGTGTCATTGGCTCCAATTCCTCCCGTTAAGTCCCTTCTAGGACCACCCCCATCTGATGTTCCTCCAATTTTGAAAAATAAGGGTAAAATTTTTGATAATCATCATTTGGCTTTATTGGCTCCACCTCTTCCCGTTAAGTCCCTTCTAGGACCTCTCCCTTCTAATGGTTCTCCAATCTTGGAAAATCAGGGTAGAATTTCTGAAACTCCAAGGTCTTCTTCTCACTTGTTGTGCGTCGACTGTAAAGACTTTGGCCACATTTCTTCTAAATGTACTAATCGAACCTTAGTCATGGAAGAACGAAAGAATGTAATAAATATGTCATTAGAAGATCTAGTCTATGAACCTAAACTTGAAGATTTTGATGACTTGGATGATAGTGAGGACACTTCTTTAGGTGGACTCCAGACTCTTCCCAAGACTTTAGATACTATACCCCTTGTTTCTGACAACTCTCGGTCACATGTTATATGTCATACCCTTGCACAACTCAAAGAGCTTGATGATTTCACTGGCCACCCTTGGAGAATTCAGTCGCCTGTGGTTAGCATTAAATCAACATTCCCCATTACTGACCAATTTCAAACTGATGGTCAAAATGAAGTCGTTAACCAAAGACCTGGCAATTTATACAAGTCTTTAGTCCAGAAAAATCTTAGAAATTGGGACTTGATTCCCCCAACTGTTCAAATTGCGTATAACAATTCTGTAAATCGGTCTCTAGGTTTGAATCCATTTGAAGTTGTTCATAGTTATAAGTCTAGGCGGCCGTTAGACCTTATTTCCATATCCCCATATGCTAGTGTGTCGATATCAGTTGAAGCATTTGTGCATCATCTTCATGACTTGCATATTAAGATCGATAAACAACTTCACGCAAGTAATGCCTTATATAAACTTCAAACTGATTTGCATAAACAATATTTTCAATTTCATATTGGGGATTATGTTATATTGCAAGCCGGTAGTGCTGGTCCTTTTAAAGTTTTAAAGCATGTTGGTCCATACGCACATGTCATTAATTTTTCATCACATTTTGGCCACCACTCTACTTTACATATTGAAGACTTAGTTACTTACAAAGGCCTTTTTAATTTCCTTGATGATCCTTTTCTACTTCCTTATGTGGATCCCCAACCTAAAGATATTACCATTTTCACTCCAATAACACATGTCACAGCACACAAAGACGTAATTGATGCTATTTTAGATAAACAGGTTGTGTTGACCAATGAGGAAGATTTTGGGGATGAGTGGCATGAATTTTTACTATTGGGAGTTCAGTATCGGTATGTGATTACAAAGAAAGATCGTCCTCCTTGGTTGGATCATATCCTTGAGGATAAGCTACAACTATCCTTGTTATCATTTGTGGAGTTTCGATATTTAGTTATCGAGAAAGATCGTCCCCCGTGGCATGACTTGGAGCCTTTCACATCAGATTCAGTGCAACATTCTACTTTATCTACTCGACGGGGTCGAGTTTTTCTCCCACCCCGGGAGAGTTGATGCGGACATTCATTTATTATTTATTTTCTATTTGGACTCTTAGTTATATTTTATTTGGATTATTGTTTATGTTTTCGTTATTGGGCTTGTTTAGTGAATTTGGCCCAAGCCCTTCTCTTTAGGGTTTATCTTCTGCTATTTATTTCTGTTTTGTTTCTCATTTTGAGACAGTTGATGATGAATTAGAATTGAAATATTTTTGGTGGCTTGCAGCCGTTTTCTCCCTCCCCTCTCTTCCCCTGGTTTCTTCTCCTCTTCTCCCTTCTCTCTGTTTCTCCTCCCCATTCCTTCTTCTTTCTTTCTTATTCATCCTACATCAAATTCGGAGAAAAGTACCAATAAAGAAAAGAAGTAATTGTAGTAGCTGCTCTGTTGGACATCCTCATCTGAATGAATTAGATGTCTTCTCGAATTACGATGTCCCGTTCTAACAGAAACTGGTAGGAAGTACCCTGCCTTGTGCACTTCCAATAGTTGCATTGATTCCAGATGCCTGATTACCATAATTATTAATACTGCCAACCTGCCAAAAAATTCATTATTTTAGTTGAATGTTAATTCAGGCTTGCAGTAGATCATTATACATATAGTTATATTCATGAAGGATAATACAGGAAAGAGTTCAGAGAAGAGAAACCGTGTTCCATGGGATGAATGAAAATAATTTTACATGACTACAAGAACTGATGTTTCCTATGCAACCTTCTGCATGAAATCATTTGCACTTGATGAAATTTTATTTGAAGTGCATTAATGCTGGTTTATACGAAACTTGACACTTACGTATTTCTGTTATTTCTAAGGGAGTGATTATAGTTTTATTTCATTTTTTCTCATCTTCAAAGAAGAGGTAATTGGGTTATTTTTTAAAAAAAAAAAAAAAAAATTTATTTATCTTGTCGTGGACATTTTTACTAATATATTATATAGGAGTTTCTTGCATTTCTTTTCTAGGTCACCATCTCTCTTTTATCTCATTTTAATTTTTTCCCTCTAGTGACTGATTACGTAAACTAAAATAATTAACAGCCATGTCTGTGGTCAGTTAATATGTCATGTCATGTCATGTCTGATCTGATCTGGAATCTGTTATTATTCCCTAATAAATTGTATGTAGGTGTTCCATCTCCTATGCAACGGTATGAAATACTTCTGGCCCTTCTTAGTGATGTGCGGCATTCGCTTTTGGATGAGGATATTCGGCATCTTGCAGAGACCACTCATGGTTTTGTTGGCGCTGATCTGGCTGCTCTCTGTGAAACAGCAATCATGGTTCACCTTCAGCAATATGTTAACTTGGAAGTCTCTTGTGGTGATTCAGATTGCGAAGCATCCACTACTGCTTGCGATACAGATTGCCAAACACCAACTCACTCATGTAATGTATATTCAGATGGTGACATAGATGCCTCCTGTAACTTGGAAAATACTCAGGAAAGTAAATCGGACACAGCTTTTTCATCCATTTCAGAAATGCAAAATTCAGCGGAAAATCTACCCCAAATCAAAGTAAATGGAACATGTGATGTAGAAGAAGACAATTTAAGAGTGACATTTGAAGACTTCAAGAAGGCTAGAGAGAAAGCAAAGCCGAGTGCCATGAGAGAGGTATGTGAACCCATGTTTGGGATTTGCAACATATCCTGGAGATATACGTAACGAATTCTGTAGCATGAGGCTCATTTTACATCTTGCCAGTTTGCTCCTCTTTATTGACTGTCGATATAATGCATGATTGGGCAACACCTCTTGCATTCCGTTGGCCAAATTTTATCTGTTTCATTTCACAATTTTGTGATTCATAATATCACCTTACAAATATGCATCAACGTTGGCAGGAGTGAAGTGTAAGAATTATGTAGACACCCCCTAATTTAGGTTAAGTGTTTACCCAGGGTCTTGGCTGAATTTCATCTGTTTTCATAGATGAAGTTCATGAATATGTTAGTGTAGCTGATTCTAAATTTTGTAAATCACATGATTCCTAGTTCCTTTATTATGGTTCTCAGACCTTCATTCTTTAGAAATTTCAGCCGTTTGATGATGGTGATGGTCATTATTATAATTTAATATAGGCTATCGGTTACTTTTCTCTTTGTTCTCTTCTCCAGTCTTGTGATTTACTTGCTCTTCATGTACAGGTAAAACTTGACTTCCCGAAAGTTGGATGGGAAGATGTTGGTGGCCAGAGTGTGGCTAAGACGGAATTAATGCAAACCGTTTTGTGGCCTCAAAAGCATAAGGATTCTATCAAACGAATTGGGACCCACCCTCCTTCTGGTATATTATTGTTTGGTCCTCCAGGATGCAGCAAAACTCTATTGGCGCGAGTAGTTGCTTGTGAAGCAGGATGGAATTTTTATGCAGTAAAGGGCCCTCAGCTTTATGATAAATGGGTTGGTGAATCTGAAAAGAACGTGAAGTCTTTATTTCAAAAGGCAAGGGCAACGGCCCCATCAATTATATTTTTTGATGAAATAGATGGACTTGTCACAACTCGTGGGGAAGAAGGTGATGGGGTTTCAGTTGGTGATCGAGTTATAACTCAATTACTTAATGAACTGGATGGTAATTAATTTTGGAACCATCTTTTCTGAGTAGTTTTGTTTATCTAGACGTCTCTTGTTAAGAAATTGTTTATTCGAAATTCAGTAAATATAACCTTCTTAAATGTACTTTAACTCAAGCTCTGAGTATGTCTATAATTTGCTGTTAGGCGTGCGTGAAAGAGTTGATGTCACCATTATTGCTGCTACAAATCGGCCAGATAAGATTGACCCTGCCCTTCTAAGACCAGGTATGAGCCTGATATCTGGTGATCTGTTGTTGATCGTTGCTATCAACATTTTGTAGCAAACTCCAATAGCTGTCTAACATTTTATCGAACTTTTGGTAGGACGTTTTGATCGACTTCTTTATATCGGACTACCAGATGAAAAAGATCGTGAGGATATATTCCGTGTTCATTTGCGCTCGAGGGCATGTAGTTCTGAAGTATGCATTGAAGAACTCGCCTGTCTTACTGAAGGATATACTGGTGCTGAAATAAAAAAGATCTGCAATGATGCAGGTGTAGCGGCTTTGGAGGTTAGTGCTAATCAAAATAAATATTCAATGATATATAGATTTTTGTTCTTAAACATTGTTTGGGAGAAATTTTTTGGAAGGAAAAAATGAAATTTTTTTTTTTTTTTTTTTTTGGGGGAATGTGGGGTTGATTTTCGAAAAATGCATCCGAAAGAAGCCTTTAATAATGTCTTTAGTTCACTATGTTATCTCATGGTACCAGGAGGATCCAACCGATGGTGTAATAACAATGGAGCATTTGAAAGCTGTGATACAAGAAGTCCAGCCATCTGATTACGAGTTTTATGAGAAGTTATCCACTGAGTTTCTGACACGGTTTTACTCAACTCCCTATGAAAAATATTTGGCTCATCAACCTCGCTCAAGGAAACCAAATGAGATATCTTTCTGGTACGTCTTTCTCCACTTTCTGGAAGATCATCAGGATTCTCTTTTGACATGTTTGACTAGGTGGTGATTTTAACATGTGTTTCAGAATACTTCCTATCTCCCTGGCCGGCCTGTCGAATAAATAGAAAACATAGACCATTTTATAAGGGATTAGGCGAAGCGAGATTGACTTTTTAAGATGGAAATCTAAGTTTTAATAAGTTATCAGAGACCATTAAGCTCAAACGAGCAATTCAATCCAATTAATACTCAAAAAAATGAGCACGTGAATTTCAACATTGATTTGCTCAAATGAGATGGAATCCCAAGTCTCAATACAGCCTTATTTTAGTCTGCTCATGTAATAACTTCCTTTCAATCTAAGTGGTTTTTTTCGGGACCTGTTGCTCAACATCTCTCAAATTAAAGTCAGTGAAAGAAATTCAAAAGAAGAAAAGAGAATAGCTTCTACCCAAAACTGCAGATACAATAGTCTCTCACTTTGCTCTCCGAACCTTCCTTTACTTAAAAGGCAATTCTTAATGAAGAAAAGAGAATAGCTTCTACCCAAAACTGCAGATACAATAGTCTCTTACTTTGCTTTCCGAACCTTCCTTTACTTAAAACGCAATCTTAATTCATTTTAAGAACGTTAAATATGTAAAAAACCTAAAGTTAGCAGCTGCACCTAAATATTCTACCAAAAGTCAATGGGCGAAATTTACTCGAGGACTGCGGGTACTCCTTTGTTAATTATCATGGACATCTCAAAGAGATGATAATTTTGTTCACTTCGATACTTGACAAGTGTAATCCAGATAGGAGTCATATTCTCTATGAACCAAGGAATCGAATAATTTTTAGTGTAAGAAACAACTTTACATCGATCGCTGGCAACAACTTTACATCTACTGCTAGCATGAATATGTAGATGTCATGAACACGAACTTCTGAATTTAACCAACGTGTTCCTTTTCCAAGTCTATTATTGAAATCTCATGCCCTTTTAAACTGAAACTCCTGGGTATTTTCGAGTTTTGCTCCTAGATGACATGTTTTATGAGGTGGGTTAGACATGAATAGACTGTATAAAAGGAGGGAAAAAAAAAATGCTAAATTTTTGTCCCATGTACTCTCCAGTACAATTGAATGCTTCATAGTGAACATGCATGTTTTGTGGCTTGTGTTGCATTTATATCACTTAAAACCCCTTTCTTTTTGCATTAATGGATTTGTTGTTTGCATTGTTGTGTGAACTTCTTACATTTAAAGTGTCGTCTGAATCTATGTATGTTCTTTGGTGGAGCAGGAGCCTAATACAATCCACTGTGCGTTTTCTGTACCGGCTCCCAAAAACCGTTTTTCAACAGGATTCTTCTTGAGCTGATGGTCATATAAGATATTTCCATGTTCTCTTCATTAATTTTGGGGTACCATGTTAATGGATCATTCATTTTTGCATTTTTTTTAGGAAAATGTTGTGTATTAGGACTGAGACTCTTGAGTGGGTTATTACTTGATTCACTTGTACAAACGACACTTAGCTGATCTGTCCAAGGAATGCTAGTTGTAGATGGACAATGCTCTTTGCAGACATCAACTGACCATATTTTTGTAGATATATACAAGGATCCTTATTCAAGAAGACGACCCTCCTTGATAGGGCTAAAGGCTTTTTTTTCTTATTGTTGCATTATTGATTAAGGGTGCGATTGTTTTGCTGTTTTTAAGTCATTTTTAGTTTTCAGTTGTGCAAACACTGTTAACATGTTTGGTCTAGTGTTTTTTGAAAATGTATTTTCTAAAACCAATAACTTTATAACATGTATACAAAATGCATTTTTAACATTTTGAGTGTTATTAATGAAAATTGTGAACACATTGAAGACATGAAATATGAGCGTTTAAATAAAACTATTTTTTAAAATTCTAACAAATTGATGAATTCTAAAAAACAAAAATATGGATTAAAAAATGAAATCTAAAATTTTTATAAATTAAAATAAAAATAGTTTTAGCTCTTAATGATTATATACATAAAAATTTAAAAAATATATTTAAATGAATACAAACAAAAGTATTTTAAGTCCAAGTCATTAGTTTTTATTTTTATTCTCAATATCCTGAAATTAATTTATTTAATTTTTAATTTTAATATTTTATCAAGAAAAAATGCTATAATATTTATCAGTTTTAAAATGTATATAATACTCGATAATATATTAACATAAAATTGTTCTATTTTTATTGGATAATCAAATTTAATTGAAAGAAACGTCATAAATAATTTTTCATAATTTCAATTCAAATATGTTTTTTTTTTTTTTTTTTTTGTTGTTCTAAGCAATAATTTTTTAAAATGATAACCAAAAGCATTTTTAGAAATCTTAAAACGGACATCTAAAACAAAAAAAAAAAAAATGAACTCAAACTCAAAATCGAAGCACAAATCGGGCCCTAAAATTTTATAGTTTTTCTGCAACAACAACAACAACAATAATAATAATAATAATACAAGTAGAATGAATAAACTACCATAAAATTTGATTCTAGGTATACTCGTGTATTGAAACGAAGTTGAGAATTATTCCCTTACAATTTTATAAGGGCATGTTTTGTGCGTATTCTTGTATAAGACTTGACAGAGTTAAACAAAATTGTACTAGTTTGTGTATATTAAACATATATTAAAAATTTTGAAGTTCTTGCATCTTTTTCAAATTATTTAAGTATGACTCAATTCAAATCAATAAGAATGAAGAAATTTTGACTCGTCTCATCATTCTCGTCAGGTGCGGCTCAAGGCCCTGCAGGTGGCTACAGTGGATCATTAGCAAGGTGCCACGGTTTTAGGGATATAGTATTTGTTTAATATATATATATAGCACTTATACAAGGAAAAATCGATGAAAAAGTCTTCCCATTTCGTCGTATGACCAATAGCCTTGTAGTATCTATTCCGAATTACTACCCCTTAACGAATTGAATGGGTACTATGCCATGGCTAAGTTAGGAAGGCTTTTGGTTCTTGGGCTGTAGATGAAAATCCCGTTATTTGTTTGGGATGGAAGTTCTAACATGGTACGTGTTGACCTCCAAAAATGGCTCCAACAGGTTCCCTAGCCTCACCCCCTCGAAACCTGTGCAAGTAGCACCCCGTCAAAAGGCAAATGAGTTAGTGGGCTTAAGTCTGAGCCCAATATGAGGTGAGCAAAATAATATGCGCCTCGGCAGGCGCTTCGGTTAGACTTCTTAGGGCCTTGGCTGCGCCTCGATTGGCCTTGTCAGAGCCTCGACTTTGGGGCCCAAAACTAATGGGCCTGACTCGGGTCCAATAAGATGACCCAATATGGAGTGATAATTCATAGGCATAACAGTAGCCCCCCAAGTCCGAGCTGTATTATTCATATGCGGGTCGGACTTGAAATATAAACTCTGAAGCAGGCGAGATCTTATAGATTGCCTCAGAAAGATAGGTAGCTCCAATAAGTAAGGGCTTACGAACTGCCTCGAAAATATACATCGATCTCGAATAGGCGAGGACTTACGAATTGCCTCGAGAAATATGAGTTGCTNGAAAATATACATCGATCTCGAATAGGCGAGGACTTACGAATTGCCTCGAGAAATATGAGTTGCTCCAATAAGTGAGGACTTACAAACCGCCTCAGAAAATGTGTGTCAGAATAAGTGAGGGCTTACGAATTGCCTCGAAAGATATACTGCATATATTTTTTGAAAATTTCGGCAGCATCTTCCCTGTAATATGGACTAAACCAATCCTGTAATACAATACATCTACAGCACATGTACCAAATAAATTTGGGGTACATTTGCCCCATCAAATGCTCATAAGGTATAACATATCACATTTCTCCAAGATATGTGCAGAGTCTTGGAGGGTTAGTCATGCATTATAGTAAATCATGTGCTCGCACAGCTCAGTGTATCAGTAGTGCTATAGTAAAGCAAGTAACATAATGTCGACAATAAAATGAAAATAATGATGATACAACATACGTACTGGCTGTGATGAAAATAATGTATGATATGGTAGCAGTGATATGTCATTCATGCTTGGAAGCAGTAATGTGATGCGTATGCTAGCAGTAATATGTAGCCCCCCAAGTCTAAGCCGAATATTTATATACGGGTCGGACTTGAAGTACCATTGTGATAAAGTTGATGTAGAAGCGATGCTTTGAATGTAAGTAGCATAGGCGACAAGGGTGATGCGTTGGATGCAACAGTAATGCTCTGATTGTAGTAGCAGAGGCGATGTTTAGGACATAGTAGCAGAGGCGGTGCTCTGGATGCAGCAACAGAGGCGGTGCTCTGGACTGAATATAAGTAGCTGTACTGAGGTGCTGAAGCTTCAATGCCTGCTTGAGGAAGGAGCTCATCTGCCACCAATGCGCTGACCCACATGGGACGACGCGTTGAGAGACGGCTAAAGCTTTGTAAAGTTTAGGAGAAAACGCAGCCACTGAGGCGATAACCTATAGGGGACTCCGCGTCAGGTGTGTCTAAGCTTTGTAAAGCTAAGTAAGGAGCTCATCTGCGACCGATGCTGGAGATGGCTAAAGCTTTGTAAAGTTTAGGAGGGAACGCAGCCACTAAGGCGATGACCCATAAGGGACTTCGCGTCAGGTGCGTCTAAACTTTGTAAAGCTGAGTAAGGAGCTCATCTACGGACAGCATTTGGTGAGGCGGGAGATAGACGTCCCACAAATAAGTCTCGAACTATCAGAGGCTTAGTGACTTGCCTCGGAATGACGAGGACTTAGAGTCGGGCTCGACAATAGTGAGAAGTGAGAAAGACATCTTGCGAAGCCTTAAATAAACATCTGACGATATGTTGAACTGTCGGAGTCTTATAAGCCGGCCTCGAATAGACGAGGACTTAGAGCTAAGCTCGGCGATAGTGAGGGGAGGAAAAGACATCCCGCGAAGCCAGGGATGAACATCTGGCGAAGTGTCGAACTATCAGAGTTTTATAAGTTGGCCTCAAATAGACAAGGGCTTAAAGCTAAGCTCGACGATAGCGAAGCGAGGAAAAGACATCTCGCGAAGTCAGGAATGAATATCTAGCGGAGTGTAGAACTATCGGAGTCTTATAAGCTGGTCTCGAATAGAAGAGGACTTAGAGCCAAGCTTGACGATAATAAGGCGGGGAATAAGCATCCCGTGAAACCAGGGATAAACATCTGGCGAAGTGTTGAACGATCGGAATCTTATAAGCTGGCCTCGGATAGACGAGGACTTAGAGTTAGGCTCGACGATAATGAGGTGGGGAATAAGCATCCCGCGAAGCCAGGGATAAACATCTGGCGAAGTGTCGGACTATCGGAGTCTTATAAGCTGGCCTGGGAATGACGAGGACTTAGAACCAAGCTCAATGATAGTGAGAGGCGAGAAATAAACAACTCACATGGCCATGAATAAACATCTGGCGAAGCAGGGAATAGACGTCCCGCATATAGCTGTCGAACTATCGGAGTCTTAATGGCTTGCCTCGGAATGACGAGAACTTAGAGACAAGCTCAACAATAGTGAGAGGGGAGAAATAAACAACTCGCATGGCCAGGAATAAGCATCTGGCCAAGCGGGGAATAAGTATCCCGCGAATAGGGTCAGGAAATGCTCATTTTGCAAGGACGAACACATCTGACAATTTGCCTCGTCCTTTATTCAAGGAACAAAGACTTCAAAAAAATAATAATAATAAAAAAAAATACCTCTTTCTTTATTCAAGAAACGAGGACTTATAACATATCGCCTCTTCCTTTATTCAAGGAATGAGGACTAATAAAATTATGCCTTGTATAATAAGAAATTTACGAGCTGGGGCTCATCTTCAATAAATAAAAAATACCACGAGCCTAGCTCATCTTGAGTAATAGGAAAACCACGAGCCAGCCTTGGTGAGTAAGGGCTCGCCTTATAATATGCGAGGTCGTAGAGCTTGCCTTGAACAATAGAATCTATATTTTCCATCTCAATATATCATGCTCGAACCATGTTCCAGATCATTATGGCAAAAAGCTCATGTGAACTTAATCCTATAATGCCAACAGGACATGCCAATCTTGTGATCATTTGTGCTTGTTAAGAGTAATAACTCACTGTGTTAATTCATCGCTTTTATTTTTGAAAGTTGGAATTCTAGATAGTAGCTATTGAGAGTCAAAGAAGCAAAACGTGGAAACTATAATTAAAAAGATTACTCCTCTTTTCATGTACTATATTTTTGCTTACTGCATCAATAGCCATGGCAGGAGATTGGTGGCAGATTATTTCAGGTTCGCCATTTAATCAAATAGTTAGAGGTAATGTGGAGATAAGAGACGAAGTTGAAATAATTTGAAACACCAAACTAGCTTTGCTTGCCAATAGTGAATAACAAATGGAGCTTTAAAAGGTTAGAATTGACCTTGTTTTCTCCATATTGCAGTGAATAGAAGTCTTCAAATGAGCCAAATATGAAACCATATAATTTTACCTGGTGCTTGCCCAAAGAACAAATAAAAGCAGCCCACTTAACAAGTCTCTAATGGGAGAGAAGCTGTAGTGGCCCAAAAGAATAAGGAACAAATTTTCACCTTGAAGGACACAAGTTGGAAAATTGTAAGACCCATAATAAAATATCAAGCCCATATTTTTTAGAGAAGATCCATCAAATGAG